TCTTATTTACATTTTGATATATATATATATATATATATATATATATATAGATAGATAGATAGTCACATATTATCCATACATATAAACATATATAGTCATATATATGATATCATATATATGTGATATATATCATCATGCACACACATCTATGACAGACATATATATGTCTAAGATTACAGACTTATTACAGAAGGAGATATTTTTCTTGACTATGGAGTTGATTTATGACACATTCCTTTGACCTCAACTTTCTATGATAATTATAGGGTTCTGACCCTTGAATGAGGCACATTTGTCCCTTCATCTTAACACGGACTAACAAAGTGTCTAAGAAAAAAGTCAAATTGCTGGAAAATGGAAATTAAAGAGACCTTATAGACATGTACAATTTTTCCTATTAAGACCAACTTTTGTGAGCCCAAGTATGTCCAAAACTATTTGATTATGAGGTAATTTCCAAGGAGATTTTTATGTGGATAAATGAAATTGAATAGGAAGAAAACTCTCAAAGTATACTCTACACAAAAATGAAGAATACAAGCAAAGAGTGCTTTTAAATCTACATAAGACCTTGCAAATAAGCTGTCCTGCCTCAGTTCTTGCTGTTATCGAGGTCATTCATATTTCTTTTCTTTCTATATATTTAAGAGTTTATAAAAAAGAAAGCAGAAATCCTTCTGAAGAATCCATCAGGGAATTTCTAGCTAATGTTTTAAGATGTATCAGCCCATCTTTTGCTAAGACAAAATGTTTAATGGAAAACCATTCAGCAAACCTAGAAAGTGGGGCTTTCAATATTATTGGCAATTAACGGCAGGCATCAGTTATAGACGTGGCAAACCAATCTTGGCTCTGGCGGAGGGTGGTGTCCAAGCCCAGAGGGAAGAAAGCTGCAGCATGGCATCCACGTTTCTGCTTCCCTTTTATGTTCTACATATGGCAATCAAGAGTCTCATTAAAGTAAAGAAGTCTGCTTGTCTGCTGCTCATTATGCTGTGGGATCATTACTAGTTGCTTTTTCAGTAAGAATACTTTCCTTTCGGTTAAGAATTAGAGACTTGTCCAAGGAAACTCTTACCAAAAGAGAGGATTCATGATTGTGGTATCCCCAGGCAAAACTTAACCTGGACACTCAAAAAACACTAGGTTCTTCCTAAGAAGGGGAAAGAAATGACTGATAAGTAGACACAGAGATGATCGTGAAAACGTTAGGAAGCCCGAGAAAACTATTAGCGGAATCAGCTCTATGCAAATGTGCATCAGCATTTGCAGACTTCCTTTTCCTGCTTCATGTACTAAGAGCCCCAGGTGGTGCTTTAAGAAGTGCACAGTTTGTTTTGAAATTCTTTAACAATTTGTGTCTTTTGCTCATTCTCCAGCTGTATCATAAAAAATGGCAAAAAGAAACACTGATGGAAACTTTTCATTGAGGGAAAACAAAAGTCCCTTTATGTATAAGGTTGGTGACAGACAAATGGAACAGAAACATATTTAGTGATCTAGAAAACCATAAGATCTCTAACTGAGGTATTTGCTCTAAAAAGGTGTTCTATATTTT